TTGCCAGAACAGGACAGCTGCTTGTTTCTGGGTCTTTTGACTTTTATCTTTAGCAACTTATAATACAAGCTCATGTGCTTTTATAGAAGCGGCAGACATTGTTTTTTATTGCAGTAAAGAAAAGGTCACCAAAGACCATAAAGAGTCAGTCAAAAGACTGTCCATCAACATATCCTGATTACAATCCAGGTAGAAAGATCTAACAAAGTTAAGTCAGGTCCTCTGCATGGATTAAAAAAAATATGGTATGGTATGAAGTTTATTCATTTTTAAAAAAGTACAAAACAATTCCATAACAATATATAAAAAGATACAAAAAAATTTAAAATGAAAGGCAGCAGAAAGAAGAAAAAATCTTATTATATCTGCCCCTTTTTTCAAACAATTATTTCAGACATATTAATTTTCAAGTAACAGAACAAAATGAATAACTTTCTAATTTTTCTAATTCTAATAAAAAACACACACTAAGCTACTTCATATATACTTTTTTAACAATCTAGATTTGATCTTTTTCTTAAATGTACACATTGACTTGACATTTTTTACATCATTCTCTAGACCATTCCACAATCCAACTCCTTGGATTGAGGTAGACCTTCCCTTCAGACTAGTTCTGAATTTTGGTTTGACAAATATTTCTATCCCCTTAAGATTGTAACAACTTTGTCTTTTAACAAAATTTCTTTGGATATTTAATGGTAATGTGTTATTTTGAGCCCTATACATAACTGATAAAATACTATAATCTACCAAATCATGAAACTTCAGTAACTTCAGTTGATAAAATAATGTGCTTGATGGGTGACAGTAATGCTTTCTGGAGATAATTCTTACAGCTCTTTTCTGTAAGATAAAAATAGGTTTTGTAAATGTTTTACACGCTTTCCCCCAAACATCAATGCAATAGATTAAATGTGGAACAATGATTGTGCTATACAACATGTACAGAGCTTTATCATTTAATAATTCCCTGACTTTGTACAGTACTGCAATAGATTTAGATATTTTTGTTCTTACAGAATTTATGTGATTTTTCCATGTGAGCTGTTCATCAATGATTACACCCAAAAATTTCATCTCATGAACTCTACAAATCTCAACACCCTCAATTTTAAATGGATCGTCAACAGTTTTCTTTTTGTTACTAAATATCATGTATTTAGTTTTATCTAAATTTAATGATAATTTATTAATTTTAAACCAAGTTTGTATTTTATCAAATTCTGTCTTCATCAGTTCCAACATCCGTTTTACATCTTTACCCAAACAAAAAAATGTGGTGTCATCTGCAAAAAGGACACATTTGAGGAGTCCTGATACATTCACTAAGTCATTCACATATAAAATAAATAACTTTGGTCCAAGTACAGAGCCTTGAGGAACTCCACAAGTGATATTGCACAAGTCAGATCTTACACCATTTATTTGTACAAACTGTTTCCTATCTTTTAAATAGCTAGATACCCAGTGTAATGCTGGTCCTCTTATACCATATTTATTTAATTTTTCAAGGAGAATAGTGTGGTCAATAGTATCAAATGCTTTTTTTAAATCAACAAAAATACTAACACAATACTGTTTTTGATCGACAGCAGTAGTTATTTGTTCTATTATTTCCATGAGTGCCATTGATGTAGAGTTTTTTGCTCTAAACCCATACTGACTGCTACTTAGAATGTTTTGTTTAGTAATAAATTTATCTAATCTGGTCACAAACAGTTTTTCTAGAATTTTTGAGAATTGTGGTAATAAGGATATTGGTCTATAATTATTGAACACACATTTATCACCATTTTTAAAGAGAGGAACTACCTTAGCTACTTTCATATTGTCTGGAAATATTCCTTTTGAAAATGATAAATTACAAATATATGTAAACGGCTCGATAACATAACTCATTATGTCCTTTACAAACATCATATCCATGTCCACCCAGTCTTTTGATCTCTTATCTGTAAGATTCTTTACAACATTCATTATTTCTTCTTTGTCAGTTCCATTAAGAAAAATACTGTTGTCACAACTTATAACTGAATGGTTCACATTATTGTCTACTTTTGGTATTTTAGCAGCAAGTCTTGATCCAACGTTCACAAAATGACGATTGAATCCATTTACAATTTCATTTTCATCATGGATTTCATTGTCATCCTTCAAAAAATATTGTGAAATACCTGTTTTTGCTTTATGACTTTTCAGAACACTATTTATTACTTGCCATGTTGCTTTCATATCACCATTGCTTTTATTTAATAAATCACTATAATATTCCTTCTTGTGTTTCCTTATAATCGCTACTAATTTATTTTTATACTTCTTATATTTCTCTTCAGCCTCTTGTGTTCTCAATTTCAAGAAACATGTATACAAATAATTCTTTTTTTTACAAGCATTTCTCAACCCTTTCGTCATCCATGGTTGGTCAACAACATTTCTCTTTGTACAATTATTTTGCACACAATTCTTTTCATACAGAGCTCCTAAAATATTCATAAACTCATCATATGATCTGTTCACATCATCAACATACACGTCTTTCCAGCTTTGTTTATGTAAATCATCTTTTAATTTGTCCATTGGATATATATAAATATAAGAAATTAAAACTTGTTGAGAGAGGAGTGAAGAAAGCCGTCTTTGTAAAAATAACCTGTCCATCATTAAACAGGGGAGTAGGGTGAGTCAGGTGTGGGTGGTTCATCTTTTCCACCCATATTTTTTTATGTTGTTGATCCGGGGAGTTGGTCGGTGACCCTCCGATCACAGGCCCAGTCTCTCTAACCTCTGCACCACCACTCCCCCCATTACTGTTATTGCAGTATCACTCAGCCCTCTGTGGTCATCTGGGCACTAACGGCCAATTGTTAGGCTGATGGTCCTTCATCATGTGAACAGCTGGTTCTGGATGTCAACAACAAACTGGTTGATCCACTATGAGAAGGTGCTATTTATAAGACTGAGTTTGTTGCAGCTTCTCCGACTGAAGAAGTCTTTTGGATAAAAGATGAAACGTTTCAACAAGTTTTACATTTTTTAATTTTATTTTTATAATTTTTTAATCCATCCAGAGGACCTGACTTGACTTTGTTAGACTGTCCCTCAACTTACTTTGAACACAAAAATAATTATGAGCATTTCATAATCATCTTGTTGGTTTAATCACCCGTTTAAAAAAAAAAAAAGGACTCAGTTGTTCTGGCAAACAAAGCCCATACCATAAAAATACCTCCACTGTGTTTGACAAGTAAAGTGGAATGCCTTGGCTCGTAAATCCTTTCATAGCTTCTCTCATTATTCAAACGTTTCTGTCCTTGAGTTTTGCTGTTAGCTTTAACCTTCCTGCTACTCTTGGGTCAAAATGACCTTGAGGCCACGGTTTTAAGGTCATTTTGTAGGGTAAAGATAACGCGTAACTTTGGCACCAAACAGACTAAACTACAGGAAAGATTTGAACTTACAGGTTTTAAAGTCATGATCTAGGATTTTTTGCAGTGTTTACTTTTAATGTTTCCTGACACTTCAGTTTTTTTGTTTTCTTCTATGTTTTCATTGTGTTGTTTGTTTCCTATTTTTTCCCAGTCCCTCGGTTAGTTTCTGCTCCTCTGTCCTGCCACACCTTCACCTGTTCCCCATTACCCTTAAGCCGCCTGACTCCAGTTTCCTCAGCAGCTCCAGACCTTTTGATATTCCTCCCTCTCAGGAGCCTGTCATTGTTATGGGCTGGAACTTGTGCCACCAGAAACTGAATTTGAAATGTTTTGAAACTGAATTTCACTCAGTTGAAACCGGGCTCACTGTGTGCCTCATGCCATGCCTGGGTTTCCTCAGAGTCTCATTGACTTTCATTTTGTAGATGTTACTGCCATACCAGCCTTTTGTTTGTCCTCTTTGTTTTTGATTATCTTTTTCTTTTTATTATCAGGTTCATCTCTGGGTACTGCAATAAAAAAAGCTCAACAGGATCCATTATTACCATGAAAAAGTAATTTTCAGTTATTCACTCTGACTTGGATTAACTGTTCATGGACTGCAGATTACAGCCAAGTATTGTAAATGAAAAGACTAGGGTAGGATTTTAAATCTAATTTTTAAACCCAAATAATGAGAAACAGGCCGCACGTGGTCACTGGTAGTCTATTCCACCTGATTACATAGACGCTGTCTGGAGCGTGTTCAGAGTTTCTGTTCGTTTCATTTGGATAGCTGCTGCTGTTGAGTCTTGTGTTTACGACACAACTGAACTTCACTTGTCTCAGTTTCATCAGAATGACAAAAATCAAAGCTCCTGAACAGCAAAACTGAAGTGTACACATCAACTCTCTGTCTTGAGTGTGTGATGTGAAGTGATGGAAAACAATCTGTTGCGTGCCGACTTCGACCCAAAGCAGTGTTTAAGTTGTCTCAGTGATTGCTGTGTGGTAATGAGCCCTCACCCGACTATCAGCGCTTCTTTAGTCCCTAATTACAGGAGTGGTTCACCGCTCAGCCTCCAACAACTGACTGCACACTTATTGTCCCTCTATTGTCAGGTTTTCTCCTTCACTTACGTCAACACTCAGCCCTAACCACCAGGCTCTGAATCCTCAGGTCAGAGGTCAACTCTGGCCTCCGGTCTCCACGACGACAGCCTAGCAGCCCCCAGGACTCCCACACACACACACACACACTCTCAGAGGAAGAAAAAAACAGCTTCTGTCCCCAAAACTCTCCAGGAGTTTCAGCTCAGAACAAATTCTTTTTACCAAACTTGAGTTGAAGATCACTGAAGCTGCAGACGGGCTTGAACTAAAAGGCAAAGATATACGGCTCCATCTTTTTTAACACACACTGAAAAACAAAGCAAGTGCCCACTCTTCTTCTGATTCACAGGATCCTGTCTAGTTGAGAGGATCCCCGTCTTATTAAGCCTTAAAGCCAACGTAAAGTTGTAGAAGTGCACAGATGATCAGCTCAACATTCAGTGCTGCTGCTGCGTGAGAGAGATCAGCAAAACTCACCGTCCTCTGAGCGCACGTCATCTCTCTGGGCATCAGTGGTCCTCTGCTGCAGTTTGGATTAAACAAAAAGATGTGGCTGGACTGGACACTTTCCCCCAGATTTCCTAGATGAACAGAGAATCTGGATGAGGCTGCAGCTGGAGCCGCAGAGACCAGGACCGGGTCTTTTCCCTCCCAGAGCTTTGAACAGCAGAGAGCAGAGTGAGAGGAAACACAGGGAGGCAGGGAGGCTGTCCCACTCCTGTTTCCCCCCTCCTCCTTTCCATATCAGCCCCAAGAGGCTTTAAATGAAGAGGAGCTACAGCTCCATCTACCAGCAAAACTGAAAAAGTGCACAGATGTGGCATTTTTGCAGAGAATCCACAGATGAACTTGATCGCATCTTTAGAAAATATTCCCTGTCTGTTTTTTTTCCAATGATCTGTTTTGATATTCATGTTTCAGAATTGAGTTATTTCAAAATGTTTTTTTTTTATATTCTCCAGTGTATTATGTACACAATTTTAATCTGAACTAAATGCAAAACAGCTAAAAGTTCTCGTTACAGTGTGTAAAAATCAAAAGTATTAACAGGGATGAACTTTTAACATTTTTAAAAAGTAAAGAGATGCATTAGACAAAATAAATATAGATGAATATTTAGACTAAATCTCACAATTTAGTTTCAAAATAATCGGAGTAAGAATTTATGAAGTGTGGATTTTTGACTTAGACTATAAAGAAAACTGTATTTGTGCACATTTTCTGTCCTTCAGCCTCAAAGTTGATATGTGTATGTCTTTTTGTTGTGATGTGTGCTTTTTGATTTTTTTTATAGTTTATCTGGATTTTAATTTGTATTCTTCTTCTACAGTTTATACTTGTTTTCAATCCTCTTGCAGCTTTAGAAATACCCAAGCAAATAATAGAAATGATTTTACTGTAGCAGTAGCTACTTTGGTGTAGATGAAAAGAAAGAAAATGAATTCCCTATTGACAAGTCCCAATGGATCTTTGGAGCGCAGGCATACAGTACGTAACATTAGGACCATAATTAAAAGCTGAAATGGGTTACAGAAAGTTGGATTGTACATGACTGAACTGGCATTGTGATATCTTTAATACTTTTTACACCAATTGACCTTTTTACAGTTAATGCATGTTCAAAGTGAGTATTTTGGAATACATGGTGGATATACTGTATTCATGTCTACTTCTGTTTAATTTAAATACACTCAATTACCGTACTTTCCGCCGTACACGTTGCATTGCCGTAAAAGTCGCACCGCCATATAAGTCTCATCAATCCAAATATGTCTAATAATAGTGGAAAAAAAACATAAATATGTCGCTTCGCTGTATAAGTAGCATCTATTATGCGTCACCGCTGATGTGTCGCATTTGTTATGCATCACTGCTGACCACCCGGAAACGTGGGTCGCTGTTGTGCCAACAATCGATTGGCTGCCAAATGGCAGCCATGGGAGTTTACTGAGCACAGGAGGTCTTTAACTAGATTTTAACAAGATTAACACTTAAAAACAATTATTTGTTTGCTCAAAATTATAGCAAAGGTGTGTCTCAGTTGAACTTTTCCTTAATAAATGCACTTTAATGGTCAAATCAGTTGCATTTCAAAAGCTGATTTGTGGCTGCGGGAGTGTGCAGAGGGACGACTCACTGTGCATTTCTTCGAAATTTAACAAGATAACCACCTAAAAACAATTATTTGTTTGCTCAACATTATAGTAAAGGTGTGTCTCAGTTGAACTTTTCCTTAATAAATGCAATTTAATGGTCAAATCAACTGCATTTCGCCTGGGCGGCACGGCGAAATGCAACTGATTTGACGTTTGTTCCAGGAGTTCCAGAGCGAGACGAAGGTGGCCTGTATGGCAAGCCAAGTGTCTCATTAATAGCCACTTTTACTAGTAATGAGACACTTGGCTTGCCATATTAGTCGAGGGCCCTCTAGTGGCTGAAAATAGAAATGTTCAATATTTTCCATGTTAGAATTAATGAAATCGTCAGATCTCAGCCAAAAACTGGGTTACAAATATGGTGGAAAAACAAAAATAAGTCGCTTCACTGTATAAGTCACAGGGCATGCTAATTTATGCAAAAAGGTGTGACTTGTACAGTGAAAAGTATAGTAACTGTTCATTTCTAAAAGGTGCGACTTGTACAGTGAAAAGTATAGTAACTGTTCATTTCTACCCATTTTAGCTGTACGCAGCAGCCATTTTTGATACCCAGAAGCAGTTTACTTTGAGGACATTTAGCTATCACAATGTAATTTACCAACAGTAATATTAATTTTAAAATACATTTGTATAAAGAAGCAAGTGTAAAGAACCAAAAGACTAAAGTTGATTGATGACCTTGAAGAAGGTTCAATGTAGATTGTGAAAATGACACTCCAACATTTGAGCTGACTAAACTTTCCACAACTTTTGCCAACAAACTCTTCATTTCCCCCAAACCTTTACATCTTATACAGCCCACGCATCAAAACACAGGCATGTTTTTGTTTCTTTTCACTCGTTTCTCTCAGATCTCCCAGAGTGCAAAGTGTGCACACCCAAACTCTTATTGACTTCCACCGTATCGAAGCTCAGAATTTTCTCTTGAAAACTAAAAGTCTGGTTGTTTTATTTTCATTTTCTTCGTTTACGTCATCTCATTTACATCAGTCGTGTGGGAAATAGATGCTCCTGGTACTTTTGGTTTGGACATGTTTTAAAATCCAGTTAATCATTTTTGCACAGTGACTGATTGAGGGTTACTTCCTGCTCTTAATTTCTGCCTACCTGTTTGGAGTTGACAGACACAGGGGTGTGGTTACCATGGTGACCATCATTTTTCTGTACATGGTTTCTGCTGTAGGCTACATCAAAATGAAGGAAGTTTGTCAGCTTAGAGAACTACAAAAGTAAGTCCTAAATTACAATTCTCATGAACCTAGCTTCATGTTTTTATTTTTTGGGAAAGTAGTTATTTATTTATTTTTAGCTTTTGAGTTTTTACTTCTTGTTTTTGTCTTACTCATCAACCAAACCAGTAACAGTCAGACCAGTACAGCAAGTATTAACAATCTGAATACCTGTTTCTGACTTATGTACAGCAACAAACTCAAATTCTGACATAAAAATACAAGTTTTATTGTTGCACCACTGGAGTGCAGCATTCTGCTCCCACAAACAGAACTGCGTTTAACAGACTTTAAAAAAGGCGTCACAATTCGTCTTTGTCCCTTTTGATTGTAACAGATTTGTCCTGTATGTTGTACATCTGAACACAGTTTGATGTTCGGTGTACGTGATACAGCCTCCCAGTTATGAGCCTGAAGGTGTTTTTTTTTTCTTAATAAATTGATAAAAATCAACAAGCTTGGTCTTCTCGTTTCTCTTTTCTTCTTTATAAACATTTTAATTGATGTTAATCAAAGAAAACCAAAATGCATACGTCTAAACAAAATATAATTGAGATATTTCTTGGGTTTATGTATGGCAGAGCATTAACAAATAAAAGTGTCTTCTGCTCATAAACACAATGTGAAAAAAACAAGTCAATATGAATAAATGTTCTCTGGTCGTGGACAACGTCCTCATCTTCCCTGCCAGAGATGTCTTCCTGCACGTTATATTCGCGGTCTCTTGGTTTTAGCTTTGGGAAGCACTTTAACTGTGGTGGACACTGATTTGGCTCCTTGCAGGTTCTCAGCGGTGCAGGTGTACGTCCCCTTGTCCACGTCTCTCACCTCGTCCACCAGAAGGACAGACTGAGACTGCTGTCGGGGGCCCCCTCCGCTGACCCGGCTGATGCTCTCCTGAGTGTACAGAGGCCTCCCAATCTGCAGCCAGAACAGGAAATGATGATCAGAAATGAGGGTGATGATGGGAGGGGAAGTTACCTATTTATTATCCACTGGCATTAATAATTAGTTGAGTGTCATTAGGGTCAGTGCTGGGTGTCTAATAATAATAAACTGAGGAAAATGACGAGGTAAGCTCAAGTGATTAAAGGTCAGCTGCACTTAATCACCACTTCGCTTTGTAGTTAATAAACTGACCTACTATTGCTTTAAAACTTACTGTGCTGAACATTAAACCACACCTCATTCATTTATTTGCTAAACCTTCTTCTAATAGCTTGAATTAATCTTAATCAATAGTTAGCCTTCAAAGTTGTTTTTTTTTGGTCCGCTTTCTGTTTTTACTCATTTTCAGTCCAGTCGTTGTATCAGACCATGACATATTGTCCAAATTATGATTGTAAAATATGAAGAAAGTGAGGAAGAGGAGGACAAACAAAGTTCCTAAAAAAATGTAGATTTAGGGTGTCTGAACGTCATGATTTTAAGAAATACATCCAGCAAAGACCTGATGCAGCACCTGAAGGACGTGTGTTCAGTCGATCATTTACTGTATCACAAGTTTTAATAATAATAATAGCTAATAGCTCCTTGGTGAAAAAGCAGCCAAATGTCAAGTAAAACTATGAAAGACCTTTAGACAAACTACTTTAAATTTTGCACAAAAGGCTGGTTTGATTTAACTTGTGCACGGTGAACTGTGAGTACAAAGCTGATTAATGTTTTACAGTTTTTAATTGTGGCTGACCTGCTGTCCCGGGTATTCCCAGGTGAACTCTACGTTCACGTCCTGTTCTCCCACCACCGTGCAGGTGACGTGCAGGTTCTCCCCCACAGCCACCGTGCTCAATGAGGCCTGGATCACCGGAGCAGGAGGAGCCATGGGATCTGATTACACATGAAAACAATTGGTTTGTCAACAATCTCTCAACACAGTTCATTCTTTTCAAATATGCATCTTCTAATGTGTAAAATTCTATTAAAAGTTTAAAAAAAAAGTTATTTTTCTTAAAATGTTTGACATAACGTGAAAATGCAGACACTATTTGTTCAAGACTGAAGTAGTTTTAAAAATGACAACAACACTTTTGTGGTTGTGACCCCATTTGCTTTTCAGCCCACTCAGAATTAAACTTTATTTCTTCAAACTGAGGTTGATCAAAGAGCTATCTACTGCAGGTAAGATGTGAATTGTTCATAATCACTTTAAAAGGTCTGAACCATCATTTCATGTGGATCCTTGTCTCTTTTAAACCCATGTAATTGTGCCCGAGGTGACATGACTCACAGTTAACGTAGATGAGTATGTACTTGATGGAACTCTGCCTCAGGCTGCCCAAACCGGCCACACAGTACAAGACCCCTGCATGGAAAGGCCGAGGTCGATGGATGGTGAAGCCCTTCTTGACGTCAAAAGAGATCTCTGTCCCGTCCACCGCCACCTGCGCCGGTGGGAACTCACGGTACAGGGTCACTTGTGCTTCCGGTGACGTCACCTGGCAGGGGAGGACTGTCGGCCAGTTGCTCCTCAGCTGAATCATCTCGTAGTAGTTAGACGAGGGAACAAATAATTCCTGTGGGTCTGTTTTGTTACATTGAAAGATAAGGCAAATTGCTGATAAGAACATTGAAAAGATTCAGCAGGTGGTAAAAGTAAGCCTTCGGTTAGATCAGCATGAGTATGAATCAATAAAATGTATTAATCATACCAGGAAAAAAGATGAAGACTTTGGCTGCTTTGTTGTACTCCTTCCTGCAGTCTTGGTCTTCGCAGAACATTGGGTAGCAGATGTACTCTCCAGTGTCCGCACCTGTCGTGTTGACCAAGGTCAGGACGTTATATCGCTCCTGTTGGACAATCCTGCAGGACAAAAACATAAAAAATAGGCACGGAACAAACAGACTGGAACTGATTTTATGATTCTGTTATCGTAACTCGTAGAAATGATTTATGGACTTTAGTTTACCTGAGTCTTCCATCATCATCTTCCTCCAGATAAGGGGGGACGCTCCACTGCACAGGTTTGCCTCTACACCTCAGCTCCAAAGTTTCTCCTGTCTGCACACTCAGGGTCTCTCCCACTTTCTGAAACTTACCTCTTTTCAGCACCTTGAAGTGTAACATGCATAATAGTCATGAAATAAGGTAGGCAAAAAGGTATGAAGGTCATGATTTCTAACAGAGACAGAAAAACAATGCACTTTTGCTTGTGGGGATGGTGTAAAGTAGCAAATCATTTATAGCAAGGTAGGATTTGTCAACCGGTACCTTGAATATAAAATAAATAGTTAAAAATTGCTCATCCAGTCTGAACTGTAAACCATGTTTATGTGTCAAATAGAAAGTTTCAAAAACTTCAGCAAGGTATTTCTTTCTTGGCTTATGAAAAAAAAGACAACACAGAGCTGAGTAACATCTAATGAGAAAATACAAAATAAATTTATTTAAAAGGTGCAATGTGCGCCCAACTTCTCAACAAGTGATCGTTATTTTGATGAAAGCAAGCCTGCGTTGATTATCAGGAATAATCACCAACATACAGTAAAAGGAAGTACCACATTTTACTGCCTTCTTGTTCTGGCCGTGGTGCTGCAACTCCAGCTTCAACTCTCAGGTTCCCATATCAAGTTTAGTATTTTCTTTTGCATTAATGGGCTTTTTGTCATAGACAGTAAAAATTAAAGTCATGGAAATATACCTAAAAATGTGTACTGACGTTTCTCGCCAGCTGCACGTTGAAAAGTACACACATCGTACATTAAACAGTAGTACGTTTTATATTTTGTTTGTGCCTCAAAGGCCCATTTTTAACACCCTAAGGTACGAAAAAATATCCTGCAGGGTAACCTGGGTACATCCTTGTACTTTTATCTTTTACTGCGTATTCTTGTTTGATAATGCGTCTCCTTGACTGATCGTCTTATCTTACTTAGCCTGATGTAAACCTGATGCTCTGCCCCTCCCTCCACTCCTACTGAGGAAGTCTACGGACTATACAGGGGGGTCCAGCTGAATAAACATTCTGTCATCATTTCATGACTCTTTGGATTCATCCCGGGCCATCCTCGACACCCCCTGACCGTGTTCGGATCTCCAGAGGGAACTATTTGAACTGAGCTATTTTATCTGAACTCTGCAGTGCCTCTGTGTGTTGACATGCTCACCGCCCTTGCATCCCCACCCCCTACATGAAATGTCATTATGTGCTTATTGTGCGACTTTTTTTTTCCCATTAAATGCTGTTAACCTTCAGCCAAATATTAAGAGCATGTTAGGATTCATTTTTGTCTCCAAACCCTATGTGTCATTTTTCACCACTTTTTATTGTCTGTCCAAACAGGTCTCACTTGTAAATGAGTCTTTGAGGCTCAATGTGACTTATCTGTTTAAATAAAAGTTGAATGAAAAAATAAAGTGTTTAGATAAGAGGTGTCCAAAGTGGGGCCTGTGGGCCAAAGTTGGCCCGCCAAGCAGTCCTCATTACTATATTAAAATTTATTTTGAAGGATCAATGTGTTTTCACTCAGTCATTCCATTGACTTTAATGTTAGATGGAAAAGTCGTCCCATTGCTGTATATATGGGACTGTTTATTTTTGTTCGTAATATTGTTGCTATTAAGTTGTGTTGTTGTTGGACATGCATTTTTTTTTACATTTTGCACTACATATACTGAAATGCCAAAATTTCAATATTTGTTTTAATTTATTATATACGACTTATGTATTTGTTATAGTTTGGGTTCTGTAATGTTCTTTATACAGAATGGATGGTTAAATAAGTGTATAATAAATAAATGGACTTTGCTTAAAGATGTATTTGCATTTCATACATTACATTATTGCATTTGGCCCAAGCCCTCTGATAGATTTTAAATTTGTCTCTCACAGGTAAAAAGTTTGGTCACCCCTGTTTTAGATTCTATTTTTACTGCTTTCTGCTGTGGTTGTTAACTAAATGAAGTTAAATTAAATGTGTGACCATTTCTAGATGGGATCTGTGCTTGCCAATGGGAAATACATTTATGGTTCTAGTTTCCTTTATCAATCAACCTTTATTTATACAGGTAAATCCCATTGAGCCTCGAGGACTCATTTACAAGAGAGACCTGATTTCAACAAAGAAAGATGACAACAATGGACAACAGCAACAACAATAAGCAGTTATAAAAACTCATACTACAGTTTTTTTTTTTTTTTTTTTTTAACAAATAGGATGGCTAAAAGGAAAAAGGTAACAAAACCAAAAAAACTGCTAGATTCCGAGACAAATGTATAAAACTAAAAACAGGAACATGTCTGCATTGGTCCCTGCCAGGAGTCCAACAGATTCTTAAAGCCACTTAGAGAGGTCAAGGTCGAGAGCTTTACCCGTCCCAAACATGTGTACCAAACCATCACAGTGCAAATGCACGCACCATTACACCCCTGATGATAATCGTGTCCTACCTGTGTTATGGAGGTCTGTGCCTGGGGTGAAGGTGAAGGTTTGAGTTTTGGTTTTGTTCTCGCAGGTTTTGCCTCTTTATTTGTCGATCTTCCAAGTTTAGGTTTGGTTCTTAAAGTGGTCTTCTGTCCTTGAGCATCTTTTGGATAAGAAGTAACATTGTGTGCTTGTTCAACTGTGGTTAGCAGAAATCATTAAAAAAACCTGGATAAAGTAAAAAGTATTGTTTAACTAATCATAGCCGGCCTTTGAAGTAGGCTGGAAGAAATGTTTCTTTCTTGGTGCAGAGTAGAGTCGAGGAGACTTACCTAACTCAAAGATCAGGGCTGAAACAAGGAGAGAGCCCAGCACCAGTCTCCACTTCGACCCACATAAGTTCAATGGAGGCATGGTTCATCTGTGGATTATCAAAGTGTCTCCTTAGTTCAGCCAGTCCAACGCAGTGAGTTCCCTGCACGAACCAAAAAGGAAATAACGGAGTCGAGCTCACAAAGTGAGCAGTCATCCGTTTACAAGGATCGCACAAATTCCTCCTGCTGAGTTTGGAGCAGCAGCACCCCAAATTCCTCCTGAGTGTCCGGACCAATGAGGGCCTCAGAGCCTGTTTGCTTTGCTGCTGGTCTGGAAGTGAGTAAACGCTGCCCAGACGAGGGCTGTGCACGTTCATTTAGTGACAAATAAACCTAACCTGCAAATGTCCACAAGTCAATCCAAACTTTGTCTGAAAATAATCACATTCAACTTGATTTTATTTAAAAAATAGGATCACACTTAAACAAATGTAATATATAAAACATGTCTCTTTTGTAAATGAGTCCACATGACTCAATGAGACTAACCTGCATAAATAAAGGTTGAATGAATTAATTTGTTTATCGGCACAGAACAGACTTTTTAACTTTTTTAATGTTATTCGCAGATTCAGTCTTTGTGATCCGAATCAATGAGATGGTTATATTGTTCTACAATAAATAATATTTTAAAATGATATCTGTGAAAGACCAGAGTGGATGTGATACACACGTGAAAGTCTTTCAGCCAAATCTATTCGTTTTAGAAATCGTTACTTTCAAGTAATAACCCCAAATCACACAGTCTGATAATGCTCAGGTGATTCCTGGTTTTATAAAAGTTTTTGTATGAAATAAAAGACGGTCATCTGGACAGTTTCTTTTTTTGTAGAAAACAGAAGAAACTGTCTAGATGACCTGACTGAGCAATTTTGGATTTGGTACCTGGATGATTGAGCATGAACTTTGATGCCTTGAACCCCTTTGGCTGTGGCTGCCTGTCTGGGAGGAGTCGACGGGGGACAGGACAGCCCCCAAAAATCATCTTATCTCCAGCAAACTGGTTGGTCCACTTAAGGAGTGTTGTCTTTGGTGGGGAAACTGTTTTCTTGGGACTCCTCCAACTGATGAAGCCCTCCGGATAGAGGGCGAAACGCCTCTATAAATTGTTGTAGAATTCAAACTTTACATCCACATTCTGTTAATAAATTATTATACTTCTTGTTATTACTATACTGTCAGCAATATATATATATATGTATATATATATACATATATATATTATAGAGCTCTATACTTGTGTCTGTGTTTCTGGTGCATACGAAACGGTGAACGGTGTTGTCTGAATGGGAATGAGCACCATTAATGACGGTGGCAGCTGTCCTCCTCCACAGACACAGGAAACCTCAGCAGTCTCTCTCCAGTATTTGTCCACTAGCAGGAAATCATCCTATTAGCAGGCATAAAGAAGTCAGGCGATGTGCAGAATGTGAACAGAGTTACACGTCTTGGCTCTGTGCCAGCTCTGAAAGTTTAAGCCTCCAAATCTCATTAGGAGCTGCAGTGGTAAAGCTGCTGTAAAATTATGTTGTATTGTATTTTCACTACACTCAATATTGGTAAAATGCTGCTTTCTCCACCTCAGCCTCCATATCGTTTGCCAGAATCTTCTTGGTGCCTATTGAACGTCTATGTACAAGGCCTCACCGAACTCCTCCCACATCGGAGCTTTTGCCTCAGTAACTACCAGCCAACAACACCTAATAGGACTCTTTTTCAGCTTGACAGCCTCCCTAACATCAGGTATCCACCAATGAGTTTGAGAATGGCGACCATGAGAAACACAGACAACCTTGCAGTCATAGCTCAAAGCAGCCACCTCGACAACGGAGGTGCAGAACATGATCCAATCAAATTCAGTGTCCCCAGCCCTTGCTGGGATGTGGTTGGAGTTCTCTCAGAGGTGTGAGTTGAAGATCCTTCTGATAGGTTCTTCTGCCAGGTGTTCCCAACAAATCCTCACTACATGTTTTGGTCTACCAGGTCTGTCCAGTTTTTTCACCTACCATCTGATCCAACTCACCACCAAGTGGTGATCAGTTGACAGCTCATCTCCTTTCTTTACACGAGTGTCCAAAACATATGGCAGCAGAACTGATGACACAATTACAAAGCACAGTATACCATCAATCTGTGGCGTAGGGTGTCCTGGTGCCGTACACTTATGAACACCTTATGTTCAAACATGGTGTTCGTGATGGACAAACTGTGATTAGCAAAGAAGTCAGACAACAGAGAACCACTCAAGTTCAGAGAAGAGAAACTGTTTCTCCCAATCCCGCCCCTCCAGGTCACACTGTCATTATCCACATAGGAATTGAAGTCCCCCAGCAGAATAAAGTAGTCTCCAACTGGAGCAGCTTTCAGCACCCCCACTAAGAACTCCAAGAACTCTAAGAACATACTCCAAACTGGGCTCAGGGTGTGGCCCCAGAACCCATGTCCAAACAAGGGACATTGAGCTTCTTTCTGTTTTCTGTCCGTATAAGTGATTTGAATCACTCTTTGTCTGGCCCATCACCTAGGACCAATTTGCCTTTGGATACCCTACCAGGGGCAATTTCCCCCAACAGCATAGCTCCTAGGATCATTCAGACAAATTCCTCTACCTCGATAAGGTGGCAGTTCAAGGCGGAGTTGTCCTTGTCGAATCAGTTAAAAACAAGGCATACGCCAATTTCCCCAATCGCTGAGGGATTTGTATAGTGAAGGTTTGTCGTTTCCAAGATTAGTTTCCTCTGGACTGGAAATGAAAATAGAATGCACGTAAACCCTAATGTTTTTGGTTAAAGATATTTAAGTCTGGAGGTGTTTCACTATAAGAATAAACAGGTTTTTTGTTGTTGATGTTGTTTTTGTTTAGTTTGTTTTGTCTGTCTGAGGCAGCACAGAGCAATGGATTATAGAGAGTAGTGGAAGCAATTTAAATATATATTTGTACGTCAGCAGACATCTTGGATTTTAATGTGGCAACCCAAATTTGGATAGAGGCCTTTCTTACACCTAGATACAGCAAGGGGGGATTTGTGAGTCCACCTTAGATTGTTTTATCCAATTACTTCACACTTAGTCTCACAAAATCTCCATCTGTCTGTTTTCTCTTGTCCTGCACATACCTTCTGATCTGCTCAAGTCAATTTAACAACATTTCTTACACACATACACTTTTCATCACCCCAGCTCCAAAGTCCAAGTCAAAGTCAAAGCAAGTTTTTTGCATGTCCGGTCCATTGGTATAGATTGCTGTATAATGGTTTGTTGATGGGCATATAATGTGTCGTGTGTGATACGCTTGTTTATTTTTCATACATCTTTAGCAATCTGCACACTTTATGCTACTTTAGCCATTCATATAAACCTTCAGCTCATTAAGAAGATGGGTGCTATGACTTTTGGGTTTTGTAACTTGTACTTTTCAAAATAATTATCAGTAAATTTATTTACAGACATTTTCCCAGCAGAAATACACAATCTATTCAATGAAATAGAAAGCAGATGGAAAAATTGCAATCTTGCTTAACATTGTTTAAATTGCTATAATTAGGACATCCCCTCTGGTCACTCCTTTATATATGTTTAGTAAATAATACGTTTTTCTTACTTTTTAGAGGATTAAACAAAAAGTTAAGTCTCGGAGACTAAATCATATTTTAAAAGAGACACTTTCATACTTTTACTTCTTGTTAGAAAATGACATGAGACCAGACTGGTTTTAAAATAAATGCACCGCATTACACCTAAGAATTAGTTTCTTGATAACAAGGCACACATTTCTGATAAAACTCATAACATACTGGTGTAAATAGTTTTAATCTTTTCATATGACTGACTGGGTAAGCCATGTTTTTGAACTTGACACAGAAAAAGCTGCCCTGAAAGGTCCTTTTGTTCTCCGCCAGCTCTGATTTGTTGGACTTCTCCGGTTCCTTAAAGTCAAAACTGCAGATAGAAATGAACTGCTATATTTATTGATTTATATATGCACCCTTAATCAACAAACCCTGCAGAAAAAAAAATCTCCAGATCACAATAAGCTGTAAAACTTGACTGATTCTTCTTTAATTTAGAAATACACATACGGCAATAAAAATTAGCAAATGTGTAAACTTTCCATATTTACATTCAAAAACACAAAATAATCAAAACAAACAACTTTAAACATGCTGACATATTTCTGAAATTAACATTTTTATTTTGATATTTTCAAAGCGTCCATCTAATAATTTAAATTAATAATGATGATTAAATTAACTCAGATAACATTTAATTATTGAATGTCATGTTTTAAAATATATTTACACACACACACACAAACACACACACACACACACACACACACATATATATACATACTGTATATACCTCAATATATACACATACTGCAAATATTTCAGGAGTAGATTCAAAGTCTCTGAGCAAGTGTTTACATTGATCAAAGCAACAGACCAGAGTATTTTAAATAATTTAGTTGAGTTTAAATAAGTGCAAAATGACTTTAACAACTATTTCTGTTTTATAAAATGTTACAAGTCTAAAAAATTATGTAAAAGTTTTTAGATTTTTTTTGACAGGAAATATGCTGATACACAACAGATCACAAAGATGTGATAAAATTGCAGTTTGGTAAAATAAAATAAAAAATGTTACCAAGTAAGGTCACTGCTCTGTACGTTTGCTTTGGTCTCAAACATTAGGGCTGGATCAGCTTAGATACACGGAGAACAGTAGCTACACATTAAGAACAGTTACTCAATGTAACATTCGAGTTTATCGGCCTTCTCTACTCCTGAAATCAGAATTTCTCTTCTTTTATGATGTCTTTCTCTGTTTTGCTGCTGATTGTTTCAATGGGTGTCTGGTTGGCCCTGAGACGCTTCCTCTGGACGCTGTTCCAGACTCCATAGCCAAAATAGATAACTAACCCTGCAGAGAGAAACACAAGATAAAACATAAGTCCTACAATCCTTACGTGCAAACCTTTAATGGGAGATAAAACTGCTCGGCTGCCACTGTGAATGAGAAAAGCAGTAAATGTAAAGAAAAATCTTGGTAATTTCTTGGTTATTATTGAAAGCTATTTCTTGACCACAACTGTTAACAAAGGTATACAGAGTTGTTGGAGCAGAGCTATGTGATGGTGAGTAGTGTTTGTTGAAATGGTTTTTGCTTAAGTTCTTGCTATAAGTTTCTCCTGAGTTCAAACAGGCATTTATGTGGTGCACTGGAAGGCGTTTTGCATCAAATGTCTGCCTTACTAGAAAGCTTGCTTCAAAGCAGAAACTAGATCTCAACAGTGCTCCAATATTAACTCAGATTTCCAAGAATATCTACAAATACTCAAGAAAATGTTTCAACAAGGGCACCATCTAGGCAAAAAGCGCACTGAGTCATCAGGGTCAGAGTTTACAACAACGCTGGTATATTTCAAGAAGCAGCCCTCACCACCATTGAAAGTTCTTTGTATTGTCCTCATTGTTGGAGAAAAATATTCTCGCTTCATCTCACGTACTCAATAGGAGCCGCACTCGACGGCAGGAGAAGATTTTTAACAGGTATTATAATTGCAAGGACAGATTTTCAGGACAGGTTACACAGATATACAGGAAGTACATGCATGAAGCCCAGTCTCAAGAATCTGCCATGGGCAGTGTGAGCAGCTTGTTTTTATACGCTCATCAGTTCAGCCGAGCTCACACACTCGGAGGCATCCTTGGAGTGTCAAGCTCCTCATCCAGCTCTCTATTAACCCAAACATATGGCTCATGGGCAGAGTTAACATTCTCAGTCATAGTAGTTAAAAACATCCATAAACATCAACCAAAAATTCCCTAACAATCATTGTATGTGCTCTTACAAAGATGACATTTCTCCTTTGCATTTGAACCATTATGCTGGAATACACCTAAGTGGAGCAGAAGGCAGCTATGTAAGCGCCTGTGAGCAGTTAGGTAACAAGCGCCGTCCTCAAGAATATGTGGCCTAGCAGGGAGTTGAACCTGTTACTTTTTAGTCCCAAGTGGGCTGCCATATTACTGCTCCACAGCTGTACTACATACAGTATCCACCACAATGTAGCTATGCTCCAATGGCACATGAATATCTTCACTACCCGATGTGTTACCATTATAATTCAGCAGTCAGGATGATAAAGTCTTATAAATCTTAAAAACAATGATCTTACCAACTAACATCCAGATGGCATATCGGAGCCATGTGGCTGATCCTAACTGCACCATCAAGTAGACGTTGATGAAAGTGCTCACTAAAGGCAGAGCGGGGAGTAAGGGTACCTGTAAGAAAAGAGTATTATGTTCATCATTATTAATATTTTTATTAAAATTTAAAACATGCTTATCAGGTTTGACTTAAATGGTCTGAATAGTTATACTCCCACCATAAAAGAAGCCTTTTTAGGATTTTGTGGGTGCATCCAGATATAAATCAGAATGAGCAGAAGAATAACGGCAAAGATGCAGATGAGCACTATGCTCCATGCCTCCATACGAGACAGAGGACCGATGGCCAGAGTCAAGGTGAGGCAAAGTGCAACCACAAACACAACTGCAGAGGGACACAGGAGGCACAAAAAGTTTAGTATACAATTCACAAAAAAAAAAAAACAAAGAGCCCCAAATGTTTTATTATTCACTTCTTTAGTTACCAGAGGTTACAGTCAAGATTGTGACGGTCCGTGCCGTGGAAGAATTGGGAGACGAGGAAGGCTTCATAAAGCCAAACCTCGAGTTGGATTCTTTGATTTGCAGATCAGAGTCTTCAGATGCATCCGGTTGGTACCTTATTTATACAAAAAAATTAAGATGCTGTATTTACAAAATAAGGAACAAAAGGTTTTAAAAATGTCAAGCAGTTAAATGTACCTCAGTATAAGGATGCAAAGAGCCACAAGTGTGTATGCAAACAGAGTACCGATGGACATCATCTCCACCAAGGCTTCCAGGTCAAACAGGAGGGCCATGATTGCTGAAGATATAAAAGTATGGGTCACTTCAAGTCCATTATCTGAAACATGGTACCTTAGCAACAGTTTCTGTACCTGCCACAGTTCCAGATACGATGGTAGATACAGCAGGACTACCCTTAGCAGTGACTTTAGTCAGAGGGTGGAACAGCAGTCCATCTCTTGCCATGGCAAACAGAACTCGAGGCATAGGGAACATGGCACCCAGAAGACTGGACAGACAAGAGCAACTATGCATCAGTTTGTTTGTCATTTACAAACAGATCAACAGAAAAACAATAAGTTTCCGGCATTTCTTGTTCAATAAAATCAATGATACTAGCCCATTTCAGAATGATTTTGCCATCTTGGTGTGATTTATAAAAAGTCCAAGGCAAAATAAGTCAGTTGAAGTCAACCTGCACCGTTATGCCTCTGAGCCTCCAAGCGAGGCAGTGACAGAGAAGTCATGGTCAGTGTGTAAAAGGGTAAGATAGTGTTTCAGCTCGAGTGTGATAAAGTGATGACAGATGTCTTTGTGACCAGCAAACTGTGGAATTTCCACAAGTAAAAGGTGTCTGACAAACGTTTCAATGCCCTCCATGTCCGTGTCACTTCATATGTGAAAGTTCACACTGTCAAAGGAAATGGGAGACACAGTGATTTATGAACAACTATTTAAAGATTGTAGAACTGTTCTGTGAGAAGAGGCTTTTCTTTCTCTTGACCTTTGAACAAACTGATATGAAAGTTGTCTTATTGGAATCAAAACAGCGAATGTCTCCAAGATTTCTTAAAGGTCTTTCGCTCTCAGTCTACAGGCTTACTTGTGGTTCCTAGAGTTTCCAAAGGCAGAATGGGAGGAAGATCTTTCAGTTCTCAGGCTCCTCTCTTGTGGAACTAACTTCCAGTTTCTGTCTGTAAGACTGACACATTGTCCAGTTTTAAGACTGGGATTAAAACTTTCCTTTTTGATAAATCCTATAGTTAGGATTGTCTTGTTATGCTGCCATAGGCTTAGACTACTAGAGGAAAAATGGAACTAATTTCCTTAAATGATTAGCTAAAATTGAATTGTTTTCATTTGATACTATTTCTATCTTAACGTGATTCTTGACCTGCCATTGTGTATCTGGTCCTCCTTCCTGTTCCTCTCTAACCCAGCCGGTCAAAGCAGATGGCTGCTTGTCCTGAGTCTGGTTCTGCTAAAGGTTTCTTCCTCATGAGGGAGTTTTTACTTTCCACTGTCGCCTTCGTGCTTGCTCAAGATGAAAGTCTGTGATGGAGTTAAACTCAAAGCAGTCTGCTCCTCAGATAAATAATGTTAACTTATTTTATATATATGCATGTTTCTGTTCAGTGCCCTGAGATGACTTGTGTTGCAACTTGGAGCTCTATAAATAAACTGAATTGAATTGAATTGTTTCTACAGCCTGTGGCAGCTAACAGAACAATGAAAAAAGCTAAATACTGGCCACTGACTGGAACACTTTTCTTTTTTTTAAACTATATTAACAAAGCCTTGTGGATCATTTTATTTCTGATGGTGTTTCTGATGATTGCTGGTAATTATGGACAAACCCCCAACACAAGAAAAATACTACCATAGTTTAAATACATTTGAGAGGAGTGAGTTTATCCAAATGAAGGAGTATGTGTTCCTGATGCATCTAGTAGTTCATTTGACGTTTAAATATGAGAATAAACATTTAAAGAAAAAGTCCACGGGAATGACAGCAGTTCCGAAAGGTTTTTCCTTGGGCTTCAATGCTAACGAAGACATGACCTCAGGTGTACTCTGTTACACAGGGGTGGTCCTAGACTGTTTGGTGTCCTGGGCGAACAAAAGACCCCCACAATCCATCCACCGAGCCCACAACACCCAATTCCCCCCATCCCATCCCTGGGTGCACAGACACGCTTTGCTGTGCCATAACATTAGATTACCATGTACCATCACAGACACACAAAGTTTCTTTGAATATACTGAATGATTCAAAAACTAGAATAATACTATAAATGCTCAGAGAAAGACACATAAAATATTGTATACCATAAATTTAAAAGTATACAAATACAAAAAACAAATACTGTAGAAAATAAATACAATTAAAATAAAGCATTTCTAAATTGCACCAATAGAACACCAGAAAATCTGTGCACTACAATTGCACTTTGATCTAGACACAAATTTCTCTGCACAACTGTTAAGGAAGATCTGAACCTTTTCTAAATAAGACAATTTACACTATTGAACTTCTAGACACAAATTAAACTGCACAATTTTCATGTAGAGTCTTACCCTTCTTTAATAAACGCATCTACACTATTTCTTTTCAAACAAGATATACAGATTAAACTGCACCACTGCCACCTAAATATTGACCCTTCTTGCCTTCCTTGATGCAAAGTCATCCATCCATCCATCCATCCATCCATTATTTTTACCCGTTTCTTCCTTTTCAGGTCATGGTGGTCACTGGTGCCCATGTCCAGCAGTGACTGTGCAAGAGGCGAGGTATAGTATAGACAGGTCACATGTCCATCACAGGGACACATAGAGACAAACAAGGAAAATCCTGGGCTGGCATTTGAACTGGTGAATTTCTCCCTGAGAAGCAACAGCACTACCAACTGAGCCAACGTGCCACATAATTATCCATCATCAATAATGTCATCATATGAAATCTGCTCAGCAGTTGTATGGATGATACTGACATAGCAAATGACTAACAACTAAGGCAAAAACAAACAAGCCTTCATACAGGTATATGTCCAGTTTGTGAAATATTCAGAGTAGGAGATAAATCAACATCTCTTAAGTGGCTATTCAACACGGTCCAAGCTACATCACAAGATCATTGCCTTTAGTAATTATAGTAGCTTAATATTTTAATCATAATCTTCAAAACCGTAATATTTTCTGATAAAAATCATGTTGTCCTAAGCTGTTAAACTCAAGACTTAACACAGTCTGCTGACTTCCTTACTTAAATAACTTTTACTAGTTGACTTTTTATGTATGTGAATGTTTCTGTTCAGTTCCCTGAGACAACTTCTTTTGTGAATTGGCGCAATAGAAATAAACTGAATTGAATTAAACTTATTAATAGAAGGCCTATCTTGCAACAGGTTATAGTCTATAACACCATTCAAGCTCCAAGAGACGACACAGCTGCATACCTTTACCGTTTGCACATTTCTCCTCTTCTTCTTTTCTCTTTTTCCTAAACTGGGCACCTGATGGCTTTGACCGGTTCTTGTCCATCTTCCATGTGTGTAACCGGCACTCCCCCAATTTGAGTCAAAACATCTTAGGCCTAAACGGATTCACGTTCCTCGGTGTGCAGATTAATTTTGTAATATTTTTTCAGCAATTTCACACAAATAAGCTGAAATAGTGGCTATATTGACAATATTATGAATGAAATGTGTTTTGCTTGAGACCAATCAATGGTGTGATTTACTTAGTGAACTAACTGTGTTATAGGCGCGCCATTAGATGCATTCCTGTCCCAACAAGGGAGACGAGAGAATCCCCCTCCCCTTCTTTCACAACCTGTGTGTCAGACCTCAGCAGCAATACGTCCTACACCTGGTGAAGGGCACCCACTCCCCACAGTTGAGCGATGGGAAACCAATAGGTAGGCTAGACAGGCTATATAAAATAATGCGTTTTATTTTTTTGAGTGTGGGGGTGGGGCCGGGCGCTCATGCTGCCCTTGACGAGATGCCACCCTGGGCAGCTGTCTATATCACCCATATCAGAAGTCATCACTGCTGTTACAGACCTGGTGGAAAGGGCGCACAGTGATCCCACGGCCACAACGTATTTAGCAGGACCCCAGTTGATGTATTCAAAGGCCACAGGCAGGGGGCTCTTTTCATTGAGCATGTAGTAGGGCATCATCAGGGTGAGGGCAGCAGACACCGCAAAGTAGGCCAAGAAACAGATCAGAAGAGAAGCCACAATGCCCACAGGGATAGACTTTTGGGGATTCTTCACCTCCTCACCTTAAAAAAAAAAAAAAGACAATTGTAACAGGTTGGTGCTCAAGATAGTGAAGGCTACTTTAGGACCGTTTACTCTTTAAAACTTCAAAAATAAATTTAACAAATTGATTATACTATTCTAAAAATGTATGAAATGTCTGCTTCATCACAGTGAAAAAAAGACTAAATCTGCTATAACACACTTGATCCATCAGAAAGTAGATAGCGATACATTTTCACAGAGCTGCCTTTTAGATTTTCTGACTCACTCAATAAATAAAATAAAATGTCCACAACTTGTTACGTGCATTTTTTTAAGCTCTCCACATTCTGCAAAACGCTTTACAGAGTTTCTTAATCATATTCACCCACATACACACACATGCCATGCTTTTATTTGTTATGTTTTTACATGTTTTTATGTTATATAAAGCACTGTTTTATGTTCTCACACATACACTGATAAGGATATCAGTGCGCTGGGGTACAGTGTTAAGGACAATTTGTTACGCTGCAGGGACTGGAGATCAAACCCCCAAACCAAACGATGGCCACCCTACCCTACCCTTCTCTAAAATTAAAAACCCAATCATTTAACCATCCATCCATCCATCACATTATCAGCTGTTAAAGAAACCCACTTTGGTTCTCTTTTATTTTCAGTAACTACAGAGTAATCTGTATTTTCTGTCTACTTCCACAGAAGTAGTTACTGCACACTTCCTGTCATTTATGAATGATGACAGTGTTTTTAACAGCTTTCCGTTTGGTTCCAGATTGCTCCATAGTACATAGATCACTGTGACGTAGGCCAACAATATTACGGGGTAGTAGTTTATCAACAAGGCTAATGACTTAATGAGTGCTGATAGACATAACAGGTCAGTTTGGGCTCTTTTAGTCTTGGTTCTTTTTAGCTTAGTCATAGTTCTTTAGTTCTTTTAGTCTTTTTCATAGCATCAATTACATGGCTAAGTTGTGGTATACCCCAGGGTTCTGTCCTTGGCTCTCTTCAGTCTTTTCCGATCCTACAGCTCGTTTTAACCTTTAACTTAAATTTTAGATGGTCAAGCATTTCCTCAAATTTAATGATGATTATTCTGAGGTCATTGTGATTGTTCCCCACCCCCTAAAAATTCTTCTAGTATTGTTGGTTATAAACATGGCGATTTATCGCAAAGGCCATAAATTACTAATGAAACAGAAGTGTCATGATGAATACAAACTTTATGGTTAGTCAAGGCCACCGTGCCCCAGTAACTCCTGGTTTGAGTCAGAATGTTTACCAACGTTGTGAAATTCTGTAAAGCGGATGTTTGTTTGAGAGTATAATCTTTTATCAAACTGGGAAACGTATGCAAGTGTTGCTACTCCCTCAGTGAAAGACAGGCTGTCTGAACTGTGTGAAACCCTGTTGGGATTGCTTAAATAAATCTCCCCAGCTGTGAATCTTTCATTATTATTTTTTTTGTTTAATTATTAAATCAAATACCCACAATTCATTCAAGAAACAATAGCTCAGATGCTAGACTAATCTAGCAGTCTGGTGCTTAAGATTTTTTTTTTCCAGCTTTAAACTATTTTTTAAATCAGGTTTATTTATGTTTTTTCTTTAAACTACTGACTGAAAACAAGTTACACATCCTTTTAACTGCTCTTGCCTTCACAAAAATCAGTTGGAGCCCCATGTTCCAATCTGCAACGATTTAATTCAAAATACTTCAGATAGACTCATACCCAACACTAAAAGACACACAAAAACAAAACATGTTCCATGTGCTTGCCTTCCTACACTGGCTGTTAGATGTCATGTTGATTTTGAAGTGTTACTTCTGACATTTAAAGCTTTAAATGTTTGTCCAAAAAAGTTCAATCTGGTCCTCTGGATTTGTCCAGAAGACCAGATTGAACTTTTTTGGATTTTTCTACCTGGATTATTGAGCATGCATCAGGATATTTAAATGTTTGTGTTTTAAAATCAAAATCCTAGACTTATTGACAGGATATGCACTCTTCGACCAGTGAGATCCATAGAGGCACTGCTGATTATTGTTCTACACATCCGCACTTACTTGTAAAGCACGTTGTAATTTTGTTGGGAAAAGTGCAATAAGGTTTAATTATCATCACTGTTTATAGTTTTAAGCAGTTAAAAAGCCACTGTGACATTACAGAGGCCTACAAACGTTGCATGTTTATTGCACTTTATTACAACAGTTTTGCTATTTTATTGCCAAAGTTTACTCAAGTTTACTTGGAACAACAGGAGATTTATCATCTATGGTAATTGGAGTTGTCATATTTTTATGAGTGAGTTTAGATTACTAAACGTGCCTTTTCATGAGGTCGAATGAAGCGTTTTTCCATTTTCTTTTTACCTGTTGTTGCAATGCAGTCAAATCCAACAAATGCATAGAAACATGTCGCAGCTCCAGCCAGGGTACCGCTGAACCCATACGGGAAAAATCCACCTACTCCATAAATACTCGTTACGTTGACTGTAGAGCTCAGGTTCCTACGTGACGGGAAACCATTATCACACAATTACTAAAAACTTAGATAAAAGTGACACAGATAAGGCGTGATAGTGGACACACCCAAACAGTGACAGGGTGAAAATGTCTCTTTGACTTTACTTGAGTTCTGTCGTGGCGTTTATCAGCGCCTCCTCGCTGATCTGCCAGTTGGAGATGTTTCCTTTGATGAAACCGGAGATGGTCACAAAGAGCAGCACCACGATGTTGACTGCTGTGAAGATCTTGTTGATGGTTGTTGACTCTTTCACCCCAAATGCCAATACGCCTTTGAATAAAAGATGAAATGTTATTGACATGTTAAAACTGTCATGGGTGTCAATGTGTGCATACTGGAAAAACTTGTTATTATTCTACTTCCGTCATGATTTTTGTTGTTAAATCTTGAACAGCTTAGATAAAACCCATGCACAAAATAAATCAAAATGTTAAAATGTGTTTGGTAACAAAATTCACAAAAAAAACCCTAAAATATTCCCCCTTGGACAGCAAAAGCATTTTGCTGAGAAATCCCAGCCATTCTGGACGTCTACCGCTCAGACAAACTTCACAGTAGAAACGTAAAAGTTCAACATCTGGCTGAACTGGTGTTTTGATATCTCTAAAGGTTTTCACACTGTTAAGAGCTTACATATTGTGATTTTTTAATATTTGGCCACAGATGTTCAACTTATAGTGTGATGATGTCACACTAACCCTGGAGGTGTATAAACTTTACATGTGCAAACAAATGCTTCTTAATTCCACAATCTGAACACGTCTTACACAGTTTAATCATCAAAACGTAGGCATCTTTGTCACCCAACGTGAAAGGCTCTTTTTGTCCCTGTCACGGAGCGAAGAGGGGGAATTGGAAATGCACTTCGTCTGTCCGGCCGTGCATGTTGCGAGCAGAGTAGCTTGAAAAATACACTATATATCTACTGTACTTCCATTTTGGTTTGTGGCTACATCCAGTTGTAAGAAAGTTTCCATTTGAAAATTGGGTTGCCAAGTCCAAATTCAAGATGGCTGCCACCATAAATGCATACATATAAACTTTGTGAACTCAAAAACTTGAAAGTTAAGCAACGTGCCAACGTGTGTATTAAGAAAGGTTCCTATTGAAAACTGGGTTGCCATGTCAAAATCCAGTCCAGAAAAACACTCATCTTGAAAACTACAAACATTAGCCATTAGCGACAGGACATTGACACACTGCTTATTGATTTGAGATATATTTTACATCAAATGCCTCAGATGCAGAAACCGCCTTTCGCAGCTGAGAGTTTAAGAATTTGTTTGACACAGTTTATAGTTTTTGCACAGCAGCAGTTTGTCTGAGGCTGACTTTGTAGTCATCTGTTGTTCTGTCTGAAGGTGGGTGGTTACCACGGTGACCCTATTCAACCCCTGGTAGCAGCTTTAAAGATTTTCTTTAGTCTCAGTTCCTTTTAATGTTTTGCCAACTTTTGCAAAGTTAGTCCCAAGTTCTTACTGGGTTTTAATGAAGAACGTTCATTTGGACAGTAGCTTCATTCAAAATGTTCTTCAAACGGTTTCTATTATCATTTTAAAGTGTGTACCTGAAAGTAGCATGACGAGGGAAGCTGCAAAGACATCTGGGTAAGGGGCCAGGCCGGGGAGCCCCATGGCTGCATTTTCGTTAAAATATTTAGATATGACTCCGCCGATAAGGTCATCGAATGTCCCGCTCCACGCCAGGGCCACACTGGATGTTCCTAATCAAAAACAGGCCATAAACTAATAAGTCATGTCACCGTTTAACTGCAGCCATAAACAGAAAGCCTTTGATAGAAACATTTCCTGCTTGTTGTGTTGTCACGTGTTTAGCATAAACTATACACCACTTTTTCAGAAACAAAGAAATCCTTGAAAAATTTGCTTCCAGCTCGGGTTATAAAGTTAGAGAATAAGAGCTGATAATTGATCGTGCATGCGTTTGTACAGATATTATTGTTTTACGTAAAAAAGGAAAACTGTCAGCTTTTAAAATGAAAAAATGACTGGTGAAAATAGGAAAATTAAAATCCAGGTAGTGAAACAAAAAACATTTTAACTTATCTTGTGAAATAAAAGTAGTTTTCTTTAAGTACAGTAGTAGTTTTCTTCAATTTATTTACCACTGCAGTTTTTAAACAAAGAGCGCATGCATCTGATAGATACAGTGGCCCTGAAGTGTAAATGAACAACATTTGAAAAAACAGAATTACATTAAGCCAAAGCAGAAGTGGCCGAAGCGGAAGTGGCCGAAGCAGAAGTGGCCGAAGCAGAAGTGGCCGGAATAATATTTGGAAAAGAAAATGGAATTGCATTTGAAAAAACAAAATTACATTAAGCCAAAGCAGAAGTGGCCAAAGCAGAAGTGGCCAAAGCAGAAGTGGCCAAAGCGGAAGTGGCCGAAGCAGAAGTGGCCGAAGTGGAAATGGCCGAAGCAGAAGTGGCCAGAATAACATTTGAAAGAAAGGAATTGCATTTGAAAAAACAAAATTGCATTAAGCCAAAGCAAAAGTGGCCGAAATAACATTTGAACAAACGGGGTTGTATTAGGCCAAACCGGAAGTGTTTTTTGTTTTTTTTGTGTGTGTGTATTTTTTTAATACTTTATTAACAGCATAAAACATAAAACAGAACAATGTACAGTACACACACAACAGAGGTACAGTTAGCAGGCTAGACTTTAGCCTGTAGAAATGGAGAGCTATGTTTTGTTCAAGCTTAAAGAAGAAGATATGACGCTGGTAAAACTCTGCAAGATCTTCAAGCTAATTAAGTTTTGTTGACATATATTTTAGTTTTTCATTTTAGTTTTACATTTTAGTTTTACATTTTAGTTTTACATTTTAGTTTAACATTTTAGTTTAACATTTTAGTTTTACATTTTAGTTTTACATTTTAGTTTAACATTTTAGTTTTACATTTTAGTTTTACATTTTAGTTTTACATTTTA